ATAGAAAGTTGTATTTTATACCTTAATTTCACTGATTAAAGCAAACACATAAAAGTGCTGGTATGAAATACATAAAAATTGTTCAGTGCTTATAATAGGAATGTAGTCTTATGAGTGATCTGTCTTTATTTTCATTGTGTTTCCAATTAAGTCCCCCACCATCCTTTTATTCATTTGCTCCAGAAACTGTTGTCCTGACTTCCCTGTTTGATAGATGCAAATGCAAAAACACATCAGAAATGGCCATAGCAAATGAGCAAATGCTCGTAGTGCTCTCACCATTATTAGTAGTTAACTTAGTACAATAAAGGGAAGAAGATTTGGGAAATGTTTCTGGCTTCTTGACAACACAGAAACGTAAGCAGGCAGCAGCAATGAGACATTGACAACTGACACATCAGTATAGTTAGAAGAACTCCAATTTGGAGAAATAAACTGGGGCTCAAACTGGCTTCAGTGGTAACTGAGTCATGTGACTAAATCTGGAGGGGTAGGTGGGAAATGGAACCAACAGCTGAAGAATACGACCAGGATGTGGTGCCTGTCCACCATCTTAGTGACTTTTCAGTGCTGTTTGATTCTGGTTTCTAGCTGGAGCTTCCTGTTACAAAATGGCTTCCAGTACTTGCTGCTGCTACATGCTTGTTTTGGACAAGTAGGTAGGAAGGGTATTTCTTTGCTCAAATATTAAAGGAAAAGTTCTTCAATCTATTGGCTGACTGTGTTTTTCCAGGAAGAAGTGATGAGATCATTCTGATTACCTGACTCATTGTTTCTATCCTCTCATCCCTGTCCTGCTGATTTCTCCTACAGTATTAGTAAGTGTCTTAGTCACTTTTCTAGTTGCTGACACAAAATACTTGACATCCAAAGTTAAAAGAGTGAAGGTTTATTTTGGCTCACAGTTTATTGGGGTTTCAGCCCACAATGGGCTGGCTCCATGGCAGGGTGTCATGGCAGGAGACAAACAGTTCATGGCAGGCAGAAGGCAGCAAAAGCAGCAAGTAGCAAGCCATGGAAGCAGCCCTCTTTCTCTCCTTTATATTTTATTCAGGCTACGTGCTTAGTGGGGGTAGCACTCACACCCAAATTGGCCCTTCCCATTATCCACACTCAGAACTATGCCAGAACTATGTCAAACCAGTCAGTGGACTGATGTAGTAATAAAGCTCCCTTAATCCCAGTATCACACACTCTAGATCCAGCCACTTCTGAAAAGCCCCACCTGTGACCGCATGAGGCTTTGCGGGGACATCTAGACCCAAGCCAGAACACTAAAAGATTAGGTAAAATTGATGGGACAGGGTTGTCCAAACATAAAATATCTACTACAGCTGTCAGAACCTCAATGGCATGGTCTAGTTAAACAGAGAAATCTCTTATTATGGCCAGAGGTACTTCCTGATTATGTGTCACTATTTTTAAAGCACAACTTTTTTTTTTCCTCATTGAGTTTATTGGTACATTTTAGGTATACAGTACAGTTATATTCATTATTGGGATCTTGTACCTTTACATGACAGGTCTTGGTTCTCATTTTTTCCCCTTAAAGCACAACCTTTGAACAACTGTAATCAGAGAACACTCAGCCCTGGTGCAAGTGAGTATTCCCACATAGCCTGAATGGGATGGGGAGCCATTGCAAATAACTCAAAGCCATTGCAACAAAGGAAGGGATCCAAATAGTCACAGGAGAGACACTTTTCTAAATTCTTTCTTAGGCTTTCAATCTTTATTAGTAGAATCTTAATCTGAAAAACCCAAGTCTTCCACCTCATGTTTTCTTTCAATAGTTATTTCCTTTTACTGCAGTTCCTGCAAACTAATTGGACAATTATAAAATTAGAAGCTAAAAGAACTTAAAAGTACATTATGAAGTAAACCCTGATACTGTTTGGTCTCATCCTGGGTCCCTGGGAAAATAAATCTAGAGTATCCAAGAGGTCAATGCTCAAACACTTGCACTTACTGGAATACCTCAGGCAGGATTATGGGCAACCCTACCTATAAAACCTCATTCTAGAACTTCAGAAATGAGAGAAAAAGAAGAAAAGATGTATGAAGTTGAAAATGCTAGTCTGCATCTTTTCTGGAAATATGATCATTAATATCAATTTGTCTTATTTTTTCTGGTACCAGGAATTGAACTCAGGTAGGCAGGTGGCGGAACCACTGAGCTAAATCCCCGGACCGGTCTTCTTTTAATGACCTTTTCTATTACAGCATGTTTTTCTTTGCAGAAAATACCATTCTAGAAACATTAAACATCAGAAGACCACATGGAAACAATATCCTTTGTGTAGATTTGCTTGTCAGAAGAAACCAAGAAGCTAAAAACTTGTTTGTTTGTTTTTTTGGAGACAGGGTCTCACTATATAGTTGAGATTGACCTGGAACTCACTATGTAGTCCAGGCTGGTCTTGAACTCACAGTGATCCTCCTGCCTCAGCCTCCTGAGTGCTGGGATTACAGGTGTGCACCATCATGCCCAGCTTGTATTTTGAACATTTAATCCTGGAGATGCCTACAAACACCAATAAGTGGAGCTATTAAATAGAGTTGGATTTATAGGTCTGGAGAGGGATTACTAATTTTCTGATTGAATCCTTTTTGAGCTAGTATTTCTTCTTCCTCTTCCTCTTCTCCTCCTGTTCCCTCTCCCTCCTTTTTTCTCACTATATAATGTCTGGCTGCCTCCTTGAATTCGTGATCCTCCAGAGCACTAGGATCACAGGAGTGAGCTGTCATGCCTGGCTAGAGCTAGGTTTTACTTGGATCCAAAAGGAGCCACCTGGCTAATGAGGGCGCAGACTCTTTAGAAGGTGAACTTTGCTACTGAAATAAACTCTTTTCAGTTGATGAGGCACCACTGAGTACACTAACTTCTGATAACCAAGAGTGATATGGGCAACTTGGTCACTGCATCTAAAACCTCAGGGCAGCTCCAACAAAACACTCTGACTCCCAAGGGTACTCTGCCTGTAAGTGGGTCCATGCAAGTTACAGGCTTGTAATCTTGGGTATAGAAGCTCAAGTATGCATATCTTCCTTGGGAATTGAATTTTTCCTGCTGTTTCTTCCAGTTTGTTTTAGATTCTAACTGGAACACATACTTTAAAAACTTTGAGTACACAGTATCTTCTAACCAGTTTGTAGAGTACATCTAGCAAGTTAAAACTGGGACATCTTAGCAGAAGTGGTGGTGCACACCTGTAATTCCAGCTACCTGGAGTGTGAGGGAGGATCACAATTTGTAAAATAATATTAAAAATGGGCTGGAGACATAGCTCAGTGGCAGAGGCAAGTACAAGGCCCTGGATTTGCTCTCCAGCATCACAAACAACAAAACAAAACACAACACAGCCCACTCCTTAAGTATATGTATCTCATCCTGATGGTTTGTTTCATTTTAAATTTCAAGGAAGTTTTTTTTTTTTTTTTTTTTTTTTTTTTTTTTGCTATTTACAAGAAAAGTAGCTTTTTATTCAGTTACTGGTTTACAAAGGCTGAGTTCAGTAAGGATCTAGCATTTCAGTGTGTTACCTGGAACACACTAGGAGCCTCCTAGAGCAATGGAGTTTTTGATGTCCAATCATTCACTGAGTCTTCCCCAGTGAATTTGCAAAGTGTATGAAAGCATTTTCAGCCACTTACATGCTCAATTCTTATCTGTGAATGTGGAAAAGTTTTTCCCCCCAAGAGAAGAGGGGAGGTTTTTTCTCCTTAAATCTCAACATCAGTGAGATTTGGAGCTGTATAAATGCCAAAGATGAATGAAGATGGTAATGAGAGGAACATTTTATGTCCCTGGAAACACTCCCAGGTCACCCAAAATGCCTACATTTAGACAGTTGGACACATCGGGTATTTTGTCATTCAATTATTCAACTGACAAATACAGATGTACAACATAGATTTACTATGCCTATTTCTGCACGTGTAAGAGAATTAGGGTGGGACACATAGAAGACATTTTTATACTCTATGAACTCATGATCTAGTTTCATACATTTAATAACAATAACAGGTAATAAGGCAGTGCCCTGAGAAGGAATGAGTAGTTCTCTCTCTAGGGGGTCTGATGATTTCACAGAAACGTTAATATTTGGGTAAAGTTTGAAGGTTGGTCAGTTCACTAGGTATAATGAATATTAGAAGAAAGTGTTGACATTAAGTTCTAAGAGGAAAATAGGGCATATATAGCAGCAGAAACGACATCAAGCACGCAAGATACAATATAGGTGTTATCCTTACAATTCCTTTCAAGGGGGTCTGGAAGTTTTTACTTGAGTTCCAGAAACTACTGGCTGCAAGTGAACTAAGCATGATTCTTTCTGGAATGTCATATTATTATAAGGTGGGCAAGACAAAGACTATTTTAAGATAAAACAAATATTTTAATTCTTAAGAGTTCTATGCTGTATTTTTCAAACTCTTCCAAACCAGGCCTCCTCACATAAACAGCAAATAATTACTTATTCGCGACAGAAGTACCTAAAATTCCTTTTTTTCCCTAAGGATATTAAAGGAAGTTGCAAATCCCACAAACCGAATGACCTAGTTTCCAGCCAACGCTGAAATTTCTAATTGGTCTATTAAGGAATAATTTTACTGTCATCCTGTTTGACACGTCTAACAGTTTTATTTTTTAAAAGAAAAAAAAACTTACCGCAACACAACAAACTAAAAAACCTCGTAAAGACGATTCATGGCGCTTATAAATCGTATTTGCTGTAAGGATTGAAAGCCATTAAACTACACAAACAGCTGATTCAGGACACTTCCCATCTCTAGTTCAAAAGAATAGTGGTAGGTTTCAGGATCTTATTTATTTTTATTGGTACACGTTTGCTGTACATAGTAATGATATTCCGCGTGGGGAATTGCTAATACACAAAACACATTTTAATCCCCTCCTCCCCTTTCCATCTCTTGGTCCCAGGGTCTTCTAATAACGCAAGCAAAGCAAAACAATTCTTGTTCCTTGAAATACGCGTTACCTGCTTGTGTGGACGAAATTTTCAGGAGAAAACCAGGCAAACCCCAATCTTACTTGGAAAGCAAATCTTCAAAGAAACGGAAACCCTGATCGCCAGCGTCCCCAGCTGTCCCGGGTCACCAGGTCCGCGCACAGCTCGGTGAGCCCAGCGTCGCTAGGACGCAGCGGGGACCCTGGGGAACCCCGCAAGAGAGCCTCCCTCAGGCTCACGCCGCAGGGACCCAAGATACAATCGCCCCGGGGTCGCCGCGACCACACCCCTTCCGCGCGGCCGCTCCCGCCAGCTCCCGGGGGCCGGAGAGGATGGCCGACTGTAGCTATTTTCTGGAGGTCGGGGCGGAGAAAGGAGCCTCTCTAGCCTCGCCTACGAACCAACGCTCCTTGTTCTCGATGATCCTCGCGCCGTCTTCTCGTACGCCACTTCCGATTCCTTTTAAAGGTCCCACACTGCGCGGGGCGGCGCGGCGCGTGCGAGGAAGGTATAAAAGGGAGCGGGAGGGCGGGACCGATGGGGGGGCCTAGCGGTGCAGGGGGCGGGGAGGCGCAAAGGGCGCGCTCTGACATCACGTGACCGGGACGCGCCGTTCTTCCGTCGGCCATTTTAGGTGGTCCGCGGCGGCGCCATTAAAGCGAGGA